CTCTTAAGAACACCACCTCCTAAAAAAAAAAAAAAAAAAAAAAAAAAAAGAACACCACCTCCTCCCTTGATCTTGCTTAGTAAAAGGTTTAAGTCTAACAGGTAGGTGTCCTCTCACAGTTTAAGGGACTGGAGTCCCCTTATAATAGGGAATGGATAGGAACACCTGGGTGGCTCAGTGGTTGAGCGTCTGCCTTCAGCTCAGGGCGTGATCCAGGGGTTCCAGGATTGAGTCCCACATCGGGCTCATCGGGAGCATGCTTCTCCCTCTGCCTATGTCTCTGCCTCTCTCTCTGTATCTCCCATGAATAAATAAATAAAATCTTAAAAAGAAAAAAAAAAGGAATCGATAAATGACATCTGAGGAACTCTTGGAAAACCCCTAACAATAAGGCAGACCTTAGTTTCAGTTGTGCACAAAGAAAAGATTCTAGAGATCTAACTCCCTTGACTCCCTAGACTTCTGCTGAGCTAGTTCATCCTTTCTTCACTTCCAACTGCTGAGGGCTTTGCAGAGCTTTTGAGGAGGTACATGCATGCCTGGTATGTCGTAGACCCTATATGCTAATATCCTATTAGGTGGGGGGGGATGGTTTAACTAAATCCGCAGTTGTGCCACTTGATGTGAACCCAGAAGATGGATCATCCAGGCAGCGGGCCTGTAGAGCAACGCCGGATCCACCAGGGGGCACCAGGCACCATACTGTGCCACGTCTAGTACTTGGCCCAGTCCCTGGCCACCTACCCATCCATGCTAAGGGTCCACTGACCAGCCTGCCTCTGCTCTTCATAGGGGTTAGGCTTGGGTAGAAGGTCGAGGTGTCCTCTGGCAGAGGCCGGTTTGTTCACAAGCCATATTGATTCTCCCAATGTAAATGCCCATCAAACATGCCAAAGAGGGCATCACAAGCAACAAAACAACAGCTGAGTTCTCTGGGACTTGATCTTTTTGGTCTCCGTTCCTCAGGCTCTGAGTCCACAAGTCCTCACAGTCCTTCCTCCCAATCTTCTTCTACGTCCAAGAGGTTTTTCTGGAGGGCGAGAAGGGGGCTGGCTAAAAAGGGCTATCCCTGGGACACCTGGGTGGCCCAGTGGTTGAGTATCTGCCTTCGGCTCAGGGCGTGATCCCGGTCTAGGGATCAAGTCTCTCACTGGATTCCCTGTGAAGAGCCTGCTTCCCTCTCTGTCTATATTTCTGCCTCTCTCTGTGGGTCTCTCATGAATAAATAAATAAAATCTTAAGAAAGAAAGAAAGAAAGAAAGAAGAAAGAAAGAAAGAAAGAAAGAAAGAAAGAAAGAAAGAAAGAAAGAAAGAGAAAGGAAAGAAAAGAAAAGAAAAGAAAGAAAAAGAAAAGAAAAGAAAAGAAAAGAAAAGAAAAGAAAAGAAAAGAAAAGAAAAGAAAAGAAAACGCTAACCCTAACCCATAGCTGACCACTTGGGGGCCTGAGTAGTGGCTCCAAGGATGAGTGACCAGATAAATAATGCTCAGTGCACTATCACATTCCCTCGGGACTGGCCTCTGGACACAGGTTCCTTCCTGCCCTGGGGATATTCCAACAGCCTGGAAAGCTTATGGATGCCCAACTCTCATTTCTTGGACCTCCTTGACTCTATTTCAACAAACCCCTTAGAAGTCAGGTTCTATGCCCGTGACCCTAAACTTGGGAACCTCCCTTTCTGACTCCCACATTTGGACAACACATAGCCCCTCTCTCCCATTTCACCTTGCTAGCACCCTAGCTGGCTCTGCCTCTGCCCAGCTGTAGATACTGACATGCCAATCTGCAGCCATGGGCATCTGTCTGCCAGGCTTTGCAGCTCTCGTTCCCATAAAGCTAAAAACCAGCATGACTATGCATACGTAATGGCCAGGCAAATCTCCCAGTACCCATTCCCCATAGGAACGGGACCAAAATGCCCTCACTTTCTTTCCTCGGGTCCCCATCCCACTCCTGCCACCTTCATCACCGACAGAAGATTGGCTTCCCACGTCTTGTAAAACAAGCCACTCAGGCAAAATCCCTTGGTTTCCCTGCCTTCCACGGTTCTCCCACTCTCCTCCCTGCCCTATCTTGGAGGCAGATCCCACCACCTCATCTAGAATCCTGCCCCTCGGGGATCCCTGGGTGGCTCAGCAGTTCAGTGCCTGCCTTTGGCCCAGGACATGATCCTGGAGTCCTGGGATTGAGTCCCACATTGGGCTCCCAGCATGGAGCCTGCTTCTCCCTCTGCCTGTGTCTCTGCCCCCCCCCCATCATGAATAAATAAATAAAATCTTAAAAAAAAAATAGAATCCTGCCCCTCCAAGTCCAGCCCCTACCCACCCCACAGTGATCTGCCAAATCTTCAGGCCTCCCCTCACTGCTAAGAGCTTTCTCTTTTTTTTTTTTTAAAGGCATTTTTTTTAAATTTTTATTTATTTATGATAGTCACAGAGAGAGAGAGAGAGAGGCAGAGACACAGGCAGAGGGAGAAGCAGGCTCCATACACCGGGAGCCCGACGTGGGATTCGATCCCGGGTCTCCAGGATCGCGCCCTGGGCCAAAGGCAGGCGCTAAACCGCTGCGCCACCCAGGGATCCCCTAAGAGCTTTCTCTTATGTTGCAAACATGCAAGTCACCCAGAAACAACTCCCTTCACCATCTCCCCTACTTGGGTGTACTCTTTGCCTCCCTTCACCTCTCGAATTCCTGAAGGGTAGTGGGCAGCTCTGTTTCTCTTTCCTCATTTCCTGCTCCTTCCACAATGTTGCCCCAACAAGTCCTCATTTCTGTCACAGCTGTCCTCCAATCACCTGATTTTCAAATCAAATACCTTTTTGGTCTATTTGCAAATTGGATTTCTCTGTATCATCTGTCACATTTGACAAACCTGACTTTTGCCTTCTCTGACACACATTCTTAATTTGCCTATTCTTCTCACTCCTACTTTTTTTTTTTTAATTTTAAGTAGGCTCCACCCCCAACGTGGGGCTTGAACTCACAACCCCAGGACCAAGAGTCACATGCTCTACTGACTGAGCCAGCCAGGTGCCCCATTCTTTCACTTTTCTATCATAAATTACTTACCTGTCCCCCCACATATAAACATCCAGCATATTAGAGTGTATTCTTCCCAAGTTCCCTCTTAAGCCCTCCCTTCTCTCTACATCAGTGGCTATCATCTATCTATCTATCTATCTATCTATTTATTTGGCAGATAGAGAGAGAGCACAAGCAGGGGGCGCAGTAGAGGGGAAGGAGAAGCAGGCTTCCCACTGAGCAGGGAGCCTGACATGGGGTTCGACATGCGGCTCGATCCCAGGACCTTGGGATCATGACCTGAGCTGAAGGCAGACACTTATCCAACTGAGCCACCCAGGCACCCCTCAGAGGCTTTCTTCTTAACTGAAGTTTTTATTTTTAAATAATTGGAGGTTCATATGCAGTTGTAAGAATGTGAGCTCCAAGGGGCGCCTGGGTAGCTCAATCAGTTAAGCATCAGACTCTTGATCTTAGCTCAGTTCGTGAATTCAAGCCACTGTCAGGCTCCTTGCTGGGCATGGAGCCTACTTTAAAAAAGAGAGAGAGGGGGGCAGCCCTGGTGGCTCAGCGGTTTAGCGCCACCTTCAGCCCAGGGCCTGAATCTGGAGACCCAGGATGGAGTTGCACGTCAGGCTCCCCTCATGGAGCCTGCTTCTCCCTCTGCCTGTGTCTCTGCCTCTCTCTCTCTCTCTCTCTCTCTCTCTCTCTCTCTCGAATAAATAAATAAAATCTTAAAAAAAAATAAAAAAGAGAGAGAGAGAGGGCAGCCCGGGTGGCTCAGTGGTTTGGCACCGCCTTCAGCCCAGGGTGTGATCCTGGAGACCCAGGATCGAGTCCCATGTCGGGGTCCCTGCATGGAGCCTGCCTGCTTCTCCCTCTGCCTGTGTCTCTGCCTCTCTCTCTCTCTCTCTCTCTCTCTTTCTCTCATGAATAAATAAATTTAAAACATCTTTAAAATTTAAAAAAAGAGAGAGAGAGAGAATAGGAGCTCCTATGTACTGTTTGCCCACCTTCCCCAATGATAACATCTTACAAAATATAGTATACTATTACAACCAGGATATTGACACTGATACAGTTAAGACACAGAAACATCAACACCAGAATCCCTTGTGCTGTCCTTTTATAGCCACAGTCCCCATCCACCACCAGTGCCTCTGAAAGACAGAAATATCTGAAGCATTTGAATGGCTTCTTCTTACTTCTCACACACACTGGGGAGACACATTGGGACTGGAGATGGGGGGGAGCTCTCCAGATAATTCTTTTATATGCCCAGCTGAAAAACACTGCTCACACCCCCACACTATCCAATATCAGCTATTCTTGTGATGCTATTTTTCCTGGAAAATACTTTTTTAAGATTTTATTTATTTATCTGACAAAGAAAAAGAGAGTAAGCACAAGCAAGGGGAGCAGGAAAGGGTGAGGGGAGAAGCAGCCTCTCCACCAATCAAGAAGCCCAGTGCAAGGCCTGATTCCAGACACTTAACGGACTGAGCCACCCAGACACCCTGAAAATGCTTTTTAAACCTGGGTCTCAAGTCCTACTGTTCTCCACAGCAGCCAGGATGTAGGCAACCCACTAGCTACTACTACTAGAAAATCCTGTGGCTCCCCAAACCAACCCTATCCAGCTTCCCTAGCCTGAATCTGGTCCTTTTCATCCTCCTCCTAACCATGAGGTAATTCACTCATGCACTGAACATCTATTAACTCCTACAGAGGCCAGGGCAGTGACCTGACATGACACTCATCTAACTATCCAGCCCAGGAATCCCACAATGCCTCCATGCTGCCTGGCCTCCTGGCCCTGAACAGGGCCCAGAGAACTCACAAGTGTCATACATATTTGCCTTCAGTGAGGACCTGTGAAGTGAGTACCCATTCTCTCCCCCAACTCCTGGCCACTTCAACTCACAGATTAGGAGGCTGCACTGGTGAAAAAGTCCTCCAGGAAAATTAGGAGCCTCTTACCTCACAGTACACAATGTCCGCTCCATAGTCCAGGGCCAGCAGCCGCATGGGGAGAGTGCCTACCCGAACCATAGGGGCTAAGATGAGTTTGTTGTGGTAGCACAGTGAGAGGCTGTGCTCAATCATTCCTCCTCTGCTAAAGCCTGCAGAAAAGGAAAACAAGAGTTAGAAATTCAAATAAAGAAAATCTCTTCTGTTAGATAGGTTTTTCTTCTTCTTTCCAATACATAAGACTTTGTTTTCCTTTTCTCTGACCATAAAAATAATGCATGCTTATTTATTCATTGAAAGAATATTTATTAGGTGTCTAGTCTGTGCCAGTCACTGTCCTAGTTTTGGGGATACATTACAAAACAAAACAGACAAAAATTCCTGTTCTAACAGAGCTTTTATTCTAGCAGGAAAACAAAGGCAAAAAAAAATACATAATAAATAAATGATACAGTATGTTAGAAAATTAGTAATGCTAGAGAGTAAAAAACAGCAAGAAGTGGGGTGCCTGAGTGGCTCTATTGGTTAAGCATATGCCTTCGGCTCAGGTCATGATCCCAGGGTCCTGGGATCAAGCCTCGTGTTGGGCTCCCTACTCAGCAGGGAGCTTGCTTCTCCCTCTCCCTCTGCCTGCCACTCCACTTACTTGTGGTCTCTCTCTTTCTGTCAAATGAACAAATAAAAATATTTTACAAAAGAAAAAAAAAACAGCAAGGAGAAAGGAAGATTGAAAACACCAGGGATGGATTAAAATTTCTTTCCATTTCATTGAGATGTGATTGACATACAGTATATTAGTTTAAGGTGTACAACATAATGATTTGATATATGTGTATGCTACAAAATGATTACCACAATAACTTAACATCTATTACCTCATATATTAATAATTTTAAAAATAATAATAATTTTTGTCTTGTGATGATGATGACCTACTATTAGTAGGGTGCTTGAATGGGTCAGTAGGTTGGGTGTTTGACTCTTGATTTTGGCTCAGGTCATGATCTCAGGGTTGTGGGACAGAGCTCTGTGATTAGCTCAGCTCACAGAGTCTGCTTGGGATTCTTTCCCCCTCGCGGCTCCCTCCTGCTCGCTCTCTCTCTCTCTCATTAAGTAAGTAAGTAAGTAAGTAAATAAATAAATAAATAAATAAATAAAATCTTTATTAAAAAAGATCTATTCTTAGCAACTTTTAAATACACAATATTGTCAACTATAGTTGCTATGCTGTATATCACATCCTCAGAAGATATTTATCTTCTAACTGGAAGTTCATATCTATTTTTTCCTTTTTTGAGAGAGAGAAGGGGGCGGGGTGGAGAAGAGGATGAGAGACAAGAGGACTCCATGCTGAATGTAGAGCCTGACACGGGGCTCAATCACATGACCCTGAGACCATGACCTGAGCTAAAATCAAGAGTTAGACATTTAACCAACTAAGCCACTCAGGTGCCCTAGAAGTTACTATCTTTTGACCACCTTCACCCACTTAGCTCATAATCCCAGCAGGAAAAATATAATAAATGGTATACTAATGGTATATTTTACATTAAAATATAAAAATATGTGAAAATATTTACATTAAAATATAAAAGTTTAAATAAGGAAACCAAGATAGGCTTCAATGGGAAGATAACATTAAAGCTAAGACTTGAGTTAGTCAAGTTGGTATCTAGTAGAAGAATATACAGCAGGAGAAACAGCTTCCCTGACGTGTTAGAGGAACAGTGAGGAGGCCAACGTGGTTGGAACACAAAGAGGAGAAGAGAGAGTAATGAAAGTCAGATACACGATATCACAGCAGTAAGCAGATAGGACACAGTGTCAGATCCCATACGGACTCGCAGTACACTCCGTGGACTTTTTTAGCTCTTCACAAAACAGAAGCCAGTAAAGGACTTTAAGTAGAGAAGTAGCATGACTGAACATGTTTTCTCATGATCCCAGTGATTACTCTAGAACAAGCAATTGGTTAGGGGCCAGAGTAAACACAGGGAGACCAAGTACAAGGCTCTTTGATAACCAACATAAGAGACGATGGTGGCTTGGCATGCCTGGGTAGCTCAGCAGTTGAGCATCAACTCCAGGTGTGATCTTGGGGTCTGGGGATCGAGTTCTGCATTGCGCTCCCTGCGGGTAGCCTGCTTCTCCCTCTGCCTATGTCTCTGCCTCTGTCTCTATGTCTCTCATGAATAAATAAATAAAATCTTAAAAAAAAAAAAATATGATGGTGGCTCAGGCCAGGAAGCTGGTAGTAGAGGTAGTGAGAAGTGGTCACATCCTAAATATATACTTTGAAGGTAAAGCCAACAGGAGTAAAAAGAAAAAAATCAAAATTCCATATCCCAGAGAAAACTGTTAATATTATTTATGCTGAGCAAATATGGACCCCCCTAAAAAGTCACAAAGCTAGCTAGCCAATGTTCTATTCTGCTCAGTTACTAACAATGTCTCCATTTTTCTCTTTACTATTTAGCCCATTCCGGCTGGTGCCCTCCTCTACCATTCTACTAAAACTGCTCTGATTAAAGTCACCAATTACCTGGAGGTTGGGCAATCAACCACACACACACTTGTCCACAATCTGGTTTCACTAACAGTACAGTGACATGGTTGAGCCTCCCCTCTTCTTGACCTCTCCCCTCCCTAGGCTTCCCTGACCCCACACTTTCCTGGTTTTTCTCCCACCCCTCTGTCTTGCTTCTCAGCATTTTTGCTGGTTCCACCTCCTCAACTCACATGTTGAGTTTCCTCCTTAGTCTTGGGCCCTCTTCTCTTCTAATTCCACACATTCTCCAATGTAAGTGTATTCACTCCCATGGCTTACAATATTGGTAATATACTGGTGATCTTTTTTTTTAAGATTTTATTTATTTATCCATAGAGACAGATCGAGAGAGAGAGAGAGAGAGAGAAAGAGGCAGAGACACAGGCAGAGGGAGAAGCAGGCCCCATGCAGGGAACCCGATGTGGGACTCGATCCCGGGTCTCCAGGATCACACCCTGGGCTGCAGGCGGGCTAAACCGCTGCACCACCAGGGCTGCCCATACTGGTGATCTCTAAAGGTATCTTATACCACCTGCTCAATATACATCCCCACCTGGGTATCTTAAGGACATCTTATAAGAAACATGCACAAAACAAAAATCTTGATCTGATCTGCTTTCCTAATTCATTAATTCATTCAACAGACATTTATTGAGCTCCTATAATATGCCAAGCACTGGTTGGCACTAGAGATAAAATGCGGAGGAGGAAGTCGAGTAGAAAAAGAGGGTTATAGAAAGAGAACTTACAAATACTTGGGAAATTAAACCACATACAGTGCTATGAAGGACATGAGGTTTTGGGAATCTGTGTCAGCAGGAAAGGGACAGATAGGGGTTGAGAAGGGCTTCCCTTAAGAAATAATTGTTTCATTTTATTTTATTTTATTTATTTATTTTACTTATTTTAGAAAGACAGCGAGCACAAGGGGTCAAGAGGGGAAGTACAGAGGGGGTGGGAGAAGGAGGGGGAAAGAATCTCAGACTCCACATGAGCACAGAGCCGACACAGGGCTTGATCTCATAACCCCGAAATTAAGACCTGGGCCACAATCAAGAATCAGATGCTTAACTGACTGAGCCACCTAGGCATCCAATAATTTCTGATTCAAGATCCCAAGGAAGAGAAGGTGTTAATCAGGCCAATACAGGTAGAGAAAAGGTTTCCCATTTCAGCAACTAGCACCTCCATTCACCCAGTTACTCATCCTTAATCCATATTCCCCACATTCAATCTATCACTAACTCCTTCTGAAACAGCCTTCAAAATATAACTAATCCATCTGCTTGGCTCCATATCTAGTGCCACCACTGTGCACAAAGCCCAGTCATCTAATGGGTCTCCCCAAATCTAATCTTACCTCCTCCTATCCTTTCTTTTTAAAAAAGATTTTTTATTATTTTTTTAATTTTTTTAGATTTTATTTATTTATTCATGAGAGACACAGAGAGAGAGGGGCAAAGACAGAGGCAGAGGCAGAAGCAGGCTCCATACAGGGAGCCCAATGTGGGACTTGATCCTGGGTCTCCAGGACCACGCCCTGGGCCGAAGGCAGGCACTAAACCACTGAGCCACTGGGGCTGCCCAAGATTTTACTTATTTATTTAAGAGAGAGAGAGAGAGAAAGCAAGAGACAGAGCATGAGCAGAGGCGGAGGAGTGAAGGGGGAGGGAGAAGCAGACTCCCCAATGCACTGAGCCGTGCATTAGGCTCAAACCTGGGACTCCAGAATCACGACTTGAGTCCTTGAGCCGAAGGCAGATACTAAACCGACTGAGCCATCTAGGCGCCCCTCCTATCCTTTTTCTGTTCGATGCTGCATGGGTTTTGAAAAAGACAACTCTGATAATACCACTTCCTTGTTTATATCCTTCAGTGGTTTCCCAATCAGTTTAGGGATAACCCCCAAACCCTTCTGATGGCCCATCAAGCCCTGCACGACCTGTTGCTGTTCACATCTCCAGCTCATCTTAAGTCTCTCTTCCACTCATTCTCCTTGCTCTGGCCCCCTGGCCTTCTTTGAAAGTCTCCTACACTAAGCTCTCTGCAGCCTGGGGCCCATGTACTTGCAGTCCTCTCTATCTAGAACACTCTCCTGGACTCAATCATATACACCCACACTAAGGTCCTCTTTACCTTGAACGTCCCCTTTTTGGAGACATTTCCCTACCAGACCATCTAACTTCAGGTCCCTAGTCACATGCTCTCACAACACTTTGTTTCTTCCTTATAGCTCAGTTACAATCCATGTGTCCACACTTACTTGTGTGGTCTCTCATCCCCCATTTCCTGCTCTAGATCACCAGGATAACAAGTCCCACAAGGACAGGAACATGGCTACCTAGTTCACTGCCAGGTTTCTAGCCCTGAGCCAGGGCTTGGCCCTTAGCAGCAGCTTCGAAAGGAAGGCGTGACCAAACACTTACTCCGTGGTGGCTGAGGACACCCTCTTGTTGGGAGATTGGTCCAGGGACTCCCTCTGGCGCATGCCAGCAGGGCCTGACAGGGCCTGCCTCCAAGAAGGCTCCTCTCAAAGAAGCTAGGCTGTCCCCACCCTTTCCCAGTTCCCATCACAACCATTCACCCAGCCCTAAAATCACACCC